AAAAAGGAACCCTCGTGTATGTTGGTGGGAATGCAAACTGGTGCAGCCACTGTGGAAAAGAGAATGGAAGTGCCTCAGAAAGTTAAAACTAGAACTACTCTGTGATCCAACAATCGCACTACTGGGAATTTACCCACATAATATAAAAACACTAATTCAAAGTGATACATTCACCCCTATGTTTATAGCAGCCTTATTTATAATAGGCAAGATATGGAAGTAGTCCAAGTATCCATCAATAAATTAATGGATAAAGAAGATGTGGTGTGTGTGTGTGTGTGTGTGTGCACAATGGAATATTATTCAGCCATAAAAGAGAATGAAATCTTGCCATTTGCAACAACATGGATGGAGCTAGAGAGTATAATGCTAAGTGAAATAAGTCAGTCAAAGACAAATTCCATATGATTTCACACACATGTGTAATTAAAGAAACAAAACAAACAAGCAAAGGAAAAAAAAAGAATGAGAGGAAAAACAAGAAACACACTCTTAACTATAGTGAACAAACTGATGGTTACTAGAGGGGAGGTGGGTGGGAGGATAGGTGAGATAAGTGATGAGGATTAAGGAGTGCACTTGTGATGAGCACCTGGTGATTATAATAAAAATTTTAATGAATGAATGAATAGGTAGGTAGATAGATAGATAGATACATAGATAGATAGATTAAGACTGAGAGGAAAGAGATAAAGCTTCCAATCTTGCTTTGCCACTAACAAGCTGTGTGATGTTGGGTTACTCACTTTTTTTTTCGGAACCTCAGTTTCCTTTTCTGTAAAATGAGGCTGGGGTATATTGCCGTTATTCTCTCTAGCCATGCTAAAATCTTACTTCTTGTATTATATCCCTTTCCTCACATTCCTGATGTTATCTCAGATGAAATAAATATTTTTAAGAAAATCAAGAATGTACCATTAATAGGATTTTATATCAAAAGTTATCTGCAAACAAATGACTTAATTAATTCTGCAACTTATTCATTCTTTCATTCATTCAACAAAATTGGATTTCAACGTTTATTTATTTTGGGACAGAGAGAGACAGAACATGAACGGGGGAGGGGCAGAGAAAGAGGGAGACACAGAATCGGAAACAGGCTCCAGGCTCTGAGCCATCAGCCCAGAGCCCGACGCGGGGCTCGAACTCACGGACCGCGAGATCGTGACCTGGCTGAAGTCGGACGCTTAACCGACTGCGCCACCCAGGCGCCCCAACAAAATTGGATTTCAAAGTTGAGTACCTATTATGAACCAGATACTGTGGTATCCTATAAAGTCTTCCCATATAAAGTATAAAAGTCAAAAGGACATTTTACCTACCCTCAAGGATTTTATATTCTGGTGGTGGAGACAGGCACATGATTTTAATAAAAGGTAGAAGTAAATGATAGAGGGAAGCACAGAAAACTTTTGGGAGAGAAATGATATACCCTCTTAAGATGGGGAAGGCTTCCTAGAGGAGGAGACACATGACCTAAAGAATGAGTAGGAGGTTATTATTCTAGGTAGAGAAGAAAGACTGTCAAAGTACAGAAGAGTAGAAGTAGAAAGAATTTTGAGATAGTAGTAGTAGCTAGAATGTAAAGCACAGAGTAAGGAACAATTACATAAGAGGAGTAAGTAGTGGAAATTCTAAGTTACCTTTTAAAGGACCTTCATTTTGTCCCATAGAGCAATGCTTTTCAAAGAAGCCAAGGATCCACATGTACCAGAATTACTTGAGACTTTTGTAAAAACCAAACAAACAAACAAAATCTGAGTTTTGATTTTAAGCTAAATCTGCTGATTCAGAATCCCTTGGTATGAGGCCTGGGGATCTGTATATAAAAGAAATATTCCAGTATTTCAGATGCAACCTAAGGTTTGAGAATCATTTGTATTAGATACTTTTACATCCATTATTTTTACTTAATTTCCACCATGATATTATTAGTAATGGGAATTTGGGTTCCAAGAAAGATGCCATTCCCTAGGATAACTGATGAAAACAAAATCAATATTATGAGCTGAATAAACATTGGGATCAATGAATAGATGACTATATCAGGAATAGAGAATAAAACTAGGACTTGGGGGCCAGAAGTATGTTCCAAATTGGGGATTTAATTTTTATAACAAGGCAGAATATCAAGATGAATACTGAAGTATAAGATCAGACATAATAAACACTACAATTTAAAACACTTTCTAAAATCTCAGTTTCTATCCTGTAAAATGGAAATAACATCTTTCAGAGGCACCTGGGTGGTTCAGTCGTTTAAGCCTCTGGCTTCAGCTCAGGTCATGATCTCGCTGTTCATGGGTTCGAGCATCATATAGGGCTTTCTGCTGTCAGTGCAGGGCCCGCTTCAGATCCTCTGTCCCCATCTCTCTCTGCCTCCCTCCCCCCACAACAAATAAATATTAAAAAAAAAATAACATCCCCCATTGGAAGAACAAATGTTAAAATGGCAATACCATCCAAAGCAATCTACATATTCAATGCAATCTCTATCAAAATAACACCAGAAAACACCCCAAATAGCCAAAGCAATCTTGAAAAAGAAAACCAAAGCTGGAGGCATCACAATCCTGTACTTACAAGATGTAATACTGGTACAAAAACAGACACTCAGATCAATGGAACAGAATATAGAACCCAGAAGTGGACCCACAAACATATCGCAACTAATCTTTGACAAAGTAGGAAAGAATATCCAATGGAATAAGGACAGTCTCTTCAGAAAATGATGCTGGGAAAACTGGACAAGAGCATGCAGAAAAATGAATCTGGACCACTTTCTTACACCATACACAAAAATAAACTCAAAATGGATGAAAGACCTCAATGCAAGACAGGAAGCCATCAAAATTCTCAAGGAGAAAGCAGGCGAAAACCTCTTTGATCTTGGCCGCAGCAACTTCTTACTCAACACGTCTCCAGAGGCAAGGGAAACAAAAGCAAAAATGAACTATTGGGACCTCATGAAAATAAAAAGCTTCTGCATAGTGAAGGAAACAATCAGCAAAACTAAAAGGCAACCGACAGAATGGGAGAAGATATTTGCAAATGACATACCATATAAAGGGTTAGTATCTAAATCTATAAAGAACTTATCAAACTCAACACCCAGAAAGCAAATAATCCACTGAATAAATGGGCAAAAGACATGAAGAGATACTTCTCCAAAGAAGAAATTCAGATGAGTAACAGACACATGAAAAAATGCTCAACATCACTCATCATCAGGAAAATACAAATCAAAACCACAATGAGACACCACCTCACACCTGTCAGAATGGCTAACATTAACAACTCAGGCAACAACAGATGTTGGCGAGGATGCGGAGAAAGAGGATCTCTTTTGCACTGCTGGTGGGAATGCGAGCTGGTGCAGCCAATCTGGAAAACAGTATGGAGGTTCCTCAAAAAATTAAAAATAGAACTACCCTACGACCCAGCAATTGCACTACTAAGTATTTATCCAAGGGACACAGGTGTGCTGTTTCGAAGGGGCACATGCACCCTAATGTTTATAGCAGTACTATCAACAATAGCCAAAGTATGGAAAGAGCCCAAATGTCCATCAACTGGTGAATGGTTGAAGATTTGGTTTATATATACAATGGAGTATTACTCAGGGTGAAGAAGAATGCAATCTTGCCATTTGCAACTATGTGGATGGAACTAAAAGGTATTATGCTGAGCAAAATTAGTCAGTCAGAGAAAGACAAATATCATATGACTTCACTCATATAAGGAATTTAAGATACAAAACAGATGAACATAAGGGAAGGGAAGCAAAAATAATATAAAAACAGGGAGGGAAACAAAATGTAAGAGACTCTTAAATATGGAGACAAAGGGTTGCTGGAAGGGTGGTGGGAGGTGGGGGGATGAGCTAAGTGGGAAAGGGGCATTAAGGAACCTATTCTTGAAATCATTGTTGCACTATATGCTAACTAACTTGGATGTAAATTTAAAAATTAATTAATTAATTAAAAAAATAAAGACAGAGCAGTCTGCAGGCTTGGAACATTCCAGCTACCTTACAAAGCAAAACTTCAGTTATACTGTTTAGTTTGCAATCAATTTATTTTTATGATTCCTTTCTAATGATGGCAAGTGATACAGGTTTTCCATGTGGGGTGGTCTTCAAATAAAGTTGTTTTAAGGGGAAAAAACTCTTTCAAAGGACAATGTGGGGGTCTAAGATGCTACCCAACTTGCATGCTAATAGATTAGCCTGCTACAGTTTAATGGATGCTAGAAGACACAAAATCCCTGGTTCAGAGACAAAGAACAGTATATGACTTATGGCAACAGCAGTAGCCACAGAGCCAGCATATCTGTGCTTAGTCTCCAAGGCCCATTTCCAAAAGGGAGCTGCAAAAAGAGGGTTCTTTACAAAAGGGGAACGCTGAGTTTAAGAAACCTGACAGAAGGGGCACCTGGGTGGCTCAGTTGGTTAAGTGTCCAACTTCAGCTCAGGTCATAATCTCACGGTTCATGGTTCAAGCCCTGCGTTGGGTTCTGTGCTGACGGCTCAGAAGCTGACGGCTTCCGATTCTGTGTCTCTCTCTCTGCCCCTCCCCTCCTCACGCTCTGTCTCTCTCTCTCTCAAAAATAAAATAAGAACACTAAAAACATAAAATAAACAAATAAATAAAAGAAACCTGACAGAAGACATTATCTCTATCTTCCAAAACTATTTGCTGTACAAGCATCCTTCAAAAATTAGTCTGAAACAAATGGGAACCAGTGCCTCACTCACAAGATGTGCAGAAATGTAAGAGACTGACAGAGAACTGTCTCATTATGATATATATCTCACAGGCTGATATAATAATTAAATGGAGTAAAATATATAAATTACATAACAAGGTGTTTAGAACACAAAAATAGCTCAATAAAAGTAATTGCTATTATTACTGTTATAGAATTATCATTTTGGGTTTTGTTGCTGTTTAACATTACTCAAAGATTGTTTGTGGTTTACATATTAGCCTGCAACTTACCTTGACCAAGAGAATTGACCCAGAAGCCTGGAGTTGGGTGGGTCCTGAAGGTGGGACTAAATGGCATGACTGGGGAAAGAAAAGTTAAAAGGCAGAGTGGTCATTAGAGATATTGCCCTTGGGAACCTCAGTGGGGACCACTTGTCAGTCCTCTGCAATCTGTGGTAACAGTAAGTGATGAATTGGTAACTGTTGTCAGAGGCTTCAACCTCTGCTATTTTATTTCCTTCTCTACCCAAACAGAATCTGAAATTTCCTTACACAGCAAGCCTGTACCTGTAATGCCTTCCCTTCCCCTCTCTACCATCTGTTTTCTGGAAGGCAGCATATAATGGAAATAACCCAAGAAATCCTGGACTTAAATCCAATATTTGCAACTTACCAAAACTTTTTTTTTAAGTAGAAAACGGAATAAGTAACATTTAAATCTTTTGAATTTCCAGTGCCCAGAATAAGCTTAAGGCAAAGTGATGAGTTTTGACATAGGACTTGAATTTCTTTGCGGTCCAGCCCCTACCCAGGGGATAGTTGACCTAGATCTGCCCTTCAAGATCTAGAATATAGGTTTTACTTCTCCTTTATCTTCCTAGGCTATTTGGAATGTGTAGTCTTTGTTGAGATTCTTCACAGGATTTGATCTTTCACATTGAAATACCTAATGGTGCTTTCAAGTAGCTTAATACTCTGCTAATGGCCAAAACTTTCTATCTACCCTAGAAGCACAAATCCAGCTGCTCGGTTATGGGCTGGCCTATTTATAATTTAAAGACTATCCCAATGTATTATTTGTCACAATGTATTTCAGAGCCTATACCTGGACATGTAAGTCATTTCCCAGGAGAAATGTTTCTTTCTTCTTGCTCCTCTTGATTCGTCATGAGATATTTGCTTGCTATCCATTTGCAAACAGTAGGGCCTGTGCCTCTGGAAGAGAATAACATTTAAAATGGCCACTAGGCTTGGAGACAGACAGTCTGGGTTCAGAACCCAGTTTTATTACTTCCTAGTTCTCTGGGAAGCAGCATCTAAGGAGATGAACTTACCTGCATCCAGATGGTTTTGAATCCTAACTACTCACTAACTAGATGACTTCTGACTGACCACAAACCTTTGTGAGTCTCACTTTTTCCATTTTTAAAATAAGAATGATAATACCTACCTGATGGAGCCTTCTGTGAGTAGTCAGTGAGATACCATGCTTACACAGTGCTCATCACATTATAGCAGCCACCTAACAAGTGTGACATCCACTCCAGCCATTCAAGGTCTCATCATCCTCTGAACTCACAGCATGCGATGGCTCTGGCAGGAATGGAACACTTACATGCCTGTGGGCCCAGCACATAACTGAAGTCAATGAGTATAAGAAAAAGAACACTGCAATTTTCCGGATACAAAGCAATTAAAAGTTGGCCTCAACATTGGGAAGAAAATAGTAAATGCTGAGGACTGTGGCAAACCAGGAAGTGTGTGTTTCATCTAACACACCTACCACTCCAGCCCATAGTTGCCCCATATTAACAGATCTGATTTTTCCTAAAAGAAGTCATATATTTGGATTTTTAGGTAAACGTTCTCAACTTTTAACTGTTGGCTCACTTAAACATACTCGGGGGCACCTGGGTGGCTCAGTCCGCTGAGTGTCCATCTTCGGCTCAGGTCATGATCTCATGGTTCTTGAGTTCAAGCCCCACATCAGGCCCTGTGCTGACAGCTCAGAGCCTGGAGCCTGCCTCAGATTCTGTCTGTCTGTCTGTCTGTCTCTCTCTCTCTCTCTTTCTGCCCCTCCATCACTCATTCTCTCTCTCTTTCTCTCCAAAATAAATAAACATTAAAATAATTAAAAAATAAATTTAAAAAGCATACACAAACAACTTGGAACTAAAACAAAAAAAGCTTAGTCCAGACCACCAACTAGGAGACTCTATTTAACCACATTCACTCGATACCATTTAAGCCCAGAGCTTATATTACTCCTTGACTCTTTTTATTTTATTGTGTAATTTTTAGTGCTCAAGTTCTGTCTCCAATTATATTTTGTTAAGCTACTTGAGTAAGATATTTGAGAGCAGGGTTGGTGTCTTGCTCAGGAAATAGCCACAATTGGTAAACTCCCCTTTGGGTTATATGCTTTAATCCCTTGAAATGGCTTGCTTCCCTCCAGAAGAACTTATTGACTTCTTTGTGCCATGACACAGGAATACAACAGCTGGCTGCCTCTGGGAGGTTGAAAATAAACAGGTTCAGAAGCTCTGAGGACAGAAAATGGACATTGTAGGTGGAGAAACAGCCCAAAATAAATACAGCTGTTGAGGCAGAAAATTTTATTTACTTTGGCTCTTTTGAGGTCTATACTGGGGGAGGAAGAGTTGCAAATCCTGAGACTTTTCATATACTGATGACAGAGACCCCACTGAGGGACTGATCTCTAGTGCTAGGCACATTTATACTAATCATTCAGTGTATATTTGATGATTAACAGATTGACTAGATAGCTCAAATGATGGAGGACATTTTAACAAAATGAAAATGATGAATTAAAGGTCTCTGCATTGGAGGGCCTATGTTAATGTACATTCTAGTTTGGAATATAACTCACACTGAACATTCTTTAACAGCAAGCTTTTGTTTGCCACATAGACATAAGGGATAAGACATGACACTAGCTTCAAAGGCAGAAAATATGGCCTGTAGTCTTAATTTGCTAACTAGCCATATGACTTTAGCAAATCATCACAATATTCTGGGACCCAGTTTCTTCCACTATAGAGTGAAGGATTCAGAAAGAAGATCTAGAATGGGAGCAGTGGAAAAGTATGGGATGAAGAACCAGAAGGTCCACATTCACATCCTAGCTATGATCATTCATTCCTGCGAAAACTTGGATGGGAAAGAACATAATCCCCAAATCTCTCTCCACCTTTGCAGACAAGACAAATAACAGTCTTCTTCTGGTGTTGTAACCATGAATTAGAGAGTAGAATTTACATAAAAGTGCTTTAAATGGATATACAAGCATAGACATTGGTATCAGACAGAATCGGCTTTGAACCCTGACCCCCCCCCCACTTCCATGTGCTCATAGAAAGGTGACTTAAGACTTTTTACCTTACTTTCCTAATTCAGAAAATGCACATAATGATATCTACTTCATTGGGTTGCTGTAATAATTAAATTATGTGTAGTAATATATGGAAATCACAAAGCACCATAAATAGTAATTATTATAGCTGGTAAAAGACAAATGGCATTGATATAAGATCTCTATCGCATTATTATATGGTGCTAATTAGCTAAATCCAAAAACAAACTGATTTTTTTACGTTTTGATCTCAATAAAAATTATTCTCCCTTTACAAAACAAAACAAAACAAAAACACCAAACAATGAAACAGGGTGATCTAGTTTAAGTTGATCATGAACTTAGTTGTTTTCTGAAGCCCAGGAGAGAATAAAATCCAGACATCCAAACATTGTGGCTCAAGTTTAATTTGCCCTGCAAGGGCCTGTTGCATTGAGGTAAAAAATAATGGGAAAGTTTCCTTTAGAAAGAAAAGATCACAGTCCATTTTTCAGAAAGCAGCCCATGGAAATACTTGGGTGTGTAGTCATCCAGAAAGCAAAAGCAAACATCCCAGACAGTCACTGTTGCAGATTGTGTTCTCAGGGCAACATTCCAGGCTTTTCTAAGATCCAGATCACAGGAGTAACTCTTTATCTTAATAGCTCTCCAGATCTTGCCAATATCATAGGGTACACTTGAAATCAAACTTCATCCAGATGGCAAGAAATGAATTGAAACTCTCTTTATCTGACAACTGAATTAATCACTCATTCATCCACTGATTTATTCATTTAAAACACAGTTATTATTAGTCTAATAATATGCACTATACTAGATGCTACAACCATAAACTAGGCAAAGTCCCTGCTTTCAGCAATGATCTGAAATACAAAGATTCTCACACACATAACTCCAAATGTTTTGTAATGCCAGGTCTATAATGAGTAAATATTAAGATACATGAAACAATATTAAATGTGTCTACTCTATCACAAATATCTTACTGCTGACAATCTATCCTCCACAAAAGGGAAAGACTATATATATAAACATGGTCATGGAACATTATTCATGGTAGCAATATAAATGCCTAACAAATGGAATAATGGTTCAAAAAGCCAAGGTACATGAAAAAAATGGAATGCAGGCATTAAGAAGAATATAATTATAAAGATCAGCAAGATAAAAATAGCCTATTCATGTGAGATGATAGAAATAATACAAAATTATGATGTGTCAAAGACATTTAACTTGGGGTATAATTACATCTATTAAAAATACACATTTGTTTCTGAGTAAGGTCTGAAAGAGAATATAAAATTTTGTAGTTTTATAAAAGTAGTAAAATTTTAGTGATTTTTTTCTACCCTCTATAGTGTTGTTACATGTGTAAACAAAGTAAGAAGTTAACACATGCTGTGATTTGAGTAACGGGAGAAAATGTTTCTTAACCTTATAAATATCTCCTTCAGTACCATTTCACCAAATACTGGCTTATCAGTTTTAAATTCTCTTTCAAATCTGGTCTCTTTCTGCACCCTCACTAATATGCTTTAGTTTAGCTTCTCAGTTCACCCGCTTCTTGCACCCATTAATTCACCCATATCTCCATTTTCAGACTTCACAGGTGTTTGTCCATTCAACTAATATTTATTTTTCTTAAATATTCAGTCCTGGTAATCAAACAACCTTCCCTCAACCCACCAGACATGTACATGTATATCATGTCTGTGCCTTGGATTGCCATCGTCCCTGATATTAGAGATGCATGTATAAAACATAAGCAGCTTTATGTTTTTTTGACATGTCTCATTCTGAAATCCTTCCATTTGTTCCTGGGAGATAGAAGAGTGTCTTGGTAAGACTTTAGGTTCCACACAAGAATAGCTAAGACACTTCTGAAGAATTAGACTAAGGTGAGGAATTTGTTATACAAGATAGAAGACTAATTTACAAGCCAAAATAAATAAAATAATGTGGGTACTCTGCTCCCAGTAATGATTGAGTAGCTCCTATCAGGCTAACCCTCCACATATAACAACTAAAATTCTGTAAAAACTATTAAAGAAAAAAAAAACTCCCTGAAATAACTGAAAAGCAACTAAAATCAGGTGGAAACTGGAGAGAAATTTACACTTAGATGAAGATAAATGAACTGAATTTTCCATTTGAAAATGGATTTTTATTTGAGGGCAAGCATTAGTTCACTAAAACTCAAGTAGAAGCCTATAATCTTAGTGGCTTGAAAACAAAATAACAGTTTGGGGCAAACACAGTAGCTGAAAAGTAAGGGGAGAAACCCAGGAAAGGGAAGATCCAGAATGGGAGAGTCCCAAATTCTGCATATAAATTTTCCCCAAACCTCTGGCTGACCCTTAAACTGTGCATGTATGAAGGAGACTAAGTATTCCTGCTAAGGCTAAAGGGGTTAAACAGAGATTTTCACCTGCAAGGTAGACAGATTAGGAGTATGAGGTCAGCAAAATTAATTGCCTGCAAAACCAACAGTTTCAGGGGAATATAACAGAATTCAGAAACTACAAAATATCATTTACAGTGTCTAGGATATAATCCAAAATTATTAGACATATAAAAATAGAATAATTTAATAATGCATACTGAAGAGTAAAGGCAATTAGTGGAGACTAATAGATCAGATGTTGGAATTATAAAAAATGTTATTGTACCTAGAGGAAACTAGAAGAAACTAGAACATAGATGAAAACATATTCATAATGAATGAAAAAGTAGAAAATCCTCCAGCAGAGAAATAGTAACTATTTTTTTTAATAAAAAACTTTAGAATAGAAAATACATATGAAATTTAAAAATAAGAGATTTTTTTCTCAGGAATAGATGGCATGAAAAATAAAACAAAATAAAAAGCCCAGAAGCAGATTCATGAAAGTGTAGATACTTGATATAGAACTGAACTGACATTGAAGACCAGTGGGTAAAAAATAGATATCTACACTAAAAAAAAAAAAAAAAAAAGGATTACTCTCTCATACCACACATGCAGTCAATTGTATACTGATTAAAGATTTAAATGTAAAAGGCAAAAATTTAAAAATTTTAGAGGATACTATACCAGAAAATATTCATGACCTTTTGGCTGATAAAGAATTCTAAACAAGAAACAAAAAGTACTAAACACAAAATTATAAACTGACAAATTTGAAAGTATTTAAAAAATTTTAAAGCTAGATATAACAGAGTACACTACCATTTTTATAAGAAGAGAAAGTAGAGTGTATATAGTTATTGTTGTAAAAGAAGCAGAGAAAAGATAACCAACAGATGAAAATGATTATCTATCTACATGGAGTAGAGTGGTTGGGAACTGGATGAAGAGTGAAGAAATAGAGATCATGACTTCTTTGAGCTAACAGTTAATTATTAATGATTCATCTTATTATATATTGTTAATAATATATAGTAAATATATATATTCTGTCAACATATAAATATTTTTAAAGTTAAGTAAAGATGATTTTTTTAAAACCCAAACTCTAAAATTGAACACAAACAGAAACATATGACTCTACCTATAAGTCAAATTGATAGAACACTTAA